ATGAATTAGATGGAAAGAACATGGACAGGGAGGAGAAAATGAATAGCAAATAAAGATGTTTTAATCTTAAAAGATTGAACTGTTTCATAGAACAGAGTGTGCCTAAAAAAGGCAAGATCAATGTACAGTTGTCTGTGAATAGGAAATAAATAATTAAGTCAAGCTTGTGTAAGATTGGTAGTTTTTATTTCAACCAATGCAGAGGCCAGCTGAGTGAAACTGTTAGTTCTGTGTGAATATATATAATTGCTGGACCTCTGCTGAGATATCCAACAAAACCAATCATTTCTGCCCATGGAACATTTTGTCTTCATAGCCAGTAACTCGGAGAAGTGCCTACTAGTAGTGTCTTTGCTTTTCTGTCTGACAAGTCTATATCTGGTAAGGAGGGAATTCCTTTGTCTTCACACAGTTGAGTAAACAAAGGCTATCAATCTTCACAAAGGATATATATTTAAAAATTATTGGCAACTATCAACAGCAGTCTAAAATCATGTGCTAGAGGTACTCTGTACTTCAAAATTAAGTTGAAACTTGAGACACATATACAAGACATGGCAACTCAGACTTGGACGATCATTTATCAACAATAGGATTGAAGTGCTAAACATTAAAAAAAGTTTTTTTTAACACAATTACATAGTTCAACTTAAATTCATTTCAAATTAAGGTCAGAGCAACAGGACGATAGCAGTTTGTCTTGTAACACTGCTGAGAAACCTCTAGCATTGATAAGTGTAAACAAATCCAAATGATGTTGCACTGATTAAAATGTTCAATAAATTTCAAACACAACTAATACTGCACTGTAGGAAATTCCATCAATTGACCTCATTCTGAACTGATGACTTAAGCAAGAAGGAATGTCTTTGATAAATTTAATGCATATTTAATCATTACAGTAACTGTTATATGTGATTTAAAGATGTGTCCTGGCAATCCTCTCAGTTAAGTCCTCAGGGGTGGATTGAGGCCGCCTTCTAGGTCTTCCAGAAGATGGTCAGATTTTCAAGTTTACATTGATGGGTATCTAATTTTTTCTGTCAGAAGACAGTCAAAAATGAAGGATGGACCAACTTATATAATTTTGAAGACTATCAGAAAATATCTCTGGATCCGCCCCTGGTCCTGGTTACAAAACTAATTTGCTGTAAAGAACTTATTGGTTTTACATTGGGCAGTCAGCCAGCTCTTGTTCACAAATGTAGCTTTGTAAACTGGCAAGTTTTACTACAAATAAAAATTATTCAGTCTGAAACCTAAATGCAGGAAATAAAAATGATGGAATAATTTTTTACATTATATACTGTGATAAAGAAAATGATCAATCAAATTTTGCATTGTCTGTGACTCTGAAATTAGATGTGGTTTAATGATTGTTTGGCCGATGTATATACCTGTTAATGTGATTTAAGTAAGCCTTCTGTAAGATCCCTTTATGCACGTATTCCATTTTCTGTTTCTTTTGTTATTCAGGAAAAGGAGTGAAACAGAATTCTGACAAAAGGAGACTTGTTTCTTCTTAACAGTGAGCTAACTTGTGTCAAATCTTTTACAATATTTCATTTCAGAAAAAATTTACATTGAATTAAAATCTGATATTTTTATCATTACTTTCAAGCCAACTTATTTATGAAGTAGCCCTGAGGTCACAGATGTCTCCGATTTGGACTATGTAGAGCTCATTTTATTATGTGCTATCCAGTAGTCATTCTTTTAGGTCAATACCAGTCCTATTTCCCTCTGAATAGTCCCTTCATTGTTTAATAATAATGGAAAGAGAGTTATCTGTTTGTTTTCAGTTTATTTTCAGAGTACAACATTTTAAATTTGTTTGCTTAAAAACATTGTATTTTGAGAAAGTGTCAGTCTTGCATTGGTATTATAACAGTGCCCTTAATAATTACAAAATAAGATATAAGATAACCATTGATAGTTTGATCTGATTACAGAAAAGGACTAAAATGACAAATTTTAGTTTTTTAATCGAAATTGAACACACAGGCTACATGCACATTTTACCAGCTTTACTGCCACGCATGATATTGAGATTAAAGGGATAATAACTGTTTTCAAAGTTTACTGGCCCAAGTCCAATTCTCATAAAAAAACTTAATTTAATTTGAGTACATGTAATACAGCCAAACAAAATTAACTGGGCCACTAACTTACTCTTTTTAAGAAATTTCACAGGCCCAGGTCCGTTTTTTCATTGGTACTGGTCTAGTTGTTAATATCACAGACTGTTATACCATGGCCCTTTCACTATATTGGTTTTTGATTTTTTTTTACAATGTGATATAGTAACATTGAATTTATGTTCACTTTTGATGTGTATAGAGACTGTGAGGTGAATGAGAATAATTCAGAATGTCATTAAGGAAAAATATATATTGAATGATACTTCAAGCATTCTTTGTTGGCAAGTCTCATCCAGTATCTTCTCTGAAATCTACAACTCATTGATCAAGTGAGATTTTCTTCGTGGCCTATTCTTCTGTCTTGCTTGTACCATGTCAATCAGAAAAGAGGGAAATCTGTATGATAGAAAAAAAAACAAACATAATAATAATAATACCATTAGGACCTACTAGTAAATACGTAGACATTATGGTATTATGCAATGAACTAAATTTAATCTGCCATTGTTTTCAAGTGATTTGACTGAAATAATGTCAACCGCATAGATTTAAATATACAATTTACTATTAAATCTAAATACAACATCAAGATTAAAGGTCACAGGAAGGAAATTGCATTTATAAAAGAAATTAGATATTAAAATTTTTTAAATTTGTCCTGGTTCCCACTGTCGTCCTGACAGGACACAAAGAGGATCTCAGAGGGACCGGCCGCTAAACTGAACATGCCCAAGATTTGTTGTAGTTTATCGAAAAAGCGCCATCTGGGATAGGATTTTCATTTAGCTCTTGTGATCTCAACAGTGTCTCAAGCGGAAGAACAGAATAACATTTTCTGACCTCCAAGTTAATGTTTTAGGGTTGTAGAATCCAGATATTGGGTTATTAACTAAAGATATTTTCACCAGTGTGGAGTAATAATTTACCGCCTCAAAACAACCACACACGTAACCGATTATCAATCGGCAACAATAATTCAAAATATCACAACAAAACTTAAATAAACTTGGCCTTGCCGCTTTGTCTTGTGATACATGGCATGCTCTAAATTTTCATTAACTAACCCGTATAATCTTTTACTAGTGTAAAGACTTACCTTAACTACAATCCTTGACTAATGTTTTTTAAAAAACCAAGTCATATGGAATCACTTGCGCACTTTGTTGATTTCTGGAGATGGTGAAGTCGTGCGTCTCTGTCTTGTGCAGGGAAACAAACTACTCAGAGGACACTTACACAAACCATGCCTAGATAAGTTACATCGTAAAGATTCTCTTATTATGTGAAAGTACGTGTACGCTCTTGTCATAAAGATGAGACTGTGGAGAGACATTACAGGTTTATACTCCAAGCAAACATCATATTGACATTGATATATAAGTAAGTGTTTACATAACACAGGAAAAGCTAATTCTTTCAACGACCTTACCACCTAGAGTGTATCTGGTATACAGGATGTTTGATTGAAAACCAGGTGTTCAAATGATTTGGTGCTGCAGCCTCGGTTTGAAAATCGTTAGCATTGGTATAACTTCTGTCTATAGCTAGAACATCCCCCCCCCCCCCAGCAGGGCTGAGGGGTTATTATATTGAGTTTAATTAGGGATTGTACAGGATCTTTGGGAGTTTGGGGTCAATCGGTGCATTTTCATGGGAGCAACAGCCATTAAATGAGATTACATAAAACACACATTGAGATTTCCCTGTAAAGTCCCATAAGTTAAGCTATCTTAACTGTTTCACATAATATTAGGAATCTGTGATGATTATGCAGGTAAATGTTGTTTAATATTGCAAATAAGTTTACAAAAGAAAAAAAATTTGTGTAACGCCAACATTAATGCTATAGATGAATAACAGTGCCTTGTTATTCTCAAATTCAATGGGGTTGTTGATATGTTAATACAACTAGATTGAAAGTTTGAACAGCAGCTTTATTGGATTTTTTTGTTATGTTTTATTTAATTTTTATATTATAATTATTTTTCAAACACTAGCATCTTCAAGATGTAACTTTTAACTCCCATCCACCAAAAGCCCTGTGCATTTTCTGTATTTCCACTTGAGCAACTGTATTGGTTTTTATGTCTTTAAACATTATTTGATATTATTTTATGCACTGTCATCATTTTTTCACATATTGGGATTTTCATTATGTGAATTTGAACTCTCACATATGGCCCTGAAACTGTAATTTTATTCACCATGTTACCTGTTGTCCATGATTAAATTTAAAGGGATAATAACTGTTTGTTTTGGCCAAAAAATTAATTTTCTTGGAGTAAACAACAATTTTCCCATACTAACTAATGGTTAATGAATCCATTTCTACACTCAAAGTTAGTCCCTGAATTTTTTTCTAAAAAGTTTGTCTTTTGTAATAATCTCTTCAGATATTTTAACATAGTATAGCCATCTATGGAGGTCACGTGATCCGATGACAAGCTCAGATATCAAAATAATAGCTATAACTGCCATTTTTGTGGTAAAACAGAAAATATTATATTTTTATGAGTTGTTTACAATGTTTTTATTGTGAAATATAGATCTCATACAAAGAGTTATCCCTTTAAGTGTTGATTGACTGTGCTGTTATAAGCATTATATATTTTTGTATCAAAATTGACAAAATGACCTATTTTCTGCATCTTCATTTTCTGCTTTTTGTCTGTACATTTGACAGCTTTGCTGCATTGTTCCAGATATTTGTGGTAGCCAAGGACAACTGCTGATCAGTGTCTTAACCTATATGTAAGTGTCTGAGACAAACACATATGCTTATTTTTATGTACTTATTGTAATTATCTTAGACTAACGCTTCTTTTTATTTGATTTTTATAACTCTGTTGTTTGTATTCCAGATCGAAGGTATAGATGAAGACAACTCTCGAGTGATGGTCAAACTCACCATTAGCCAGCAACTCATCTCGATCAACAAATTCCACCTTCAGCTTGTAAGCAAAACAGATTATGAGAAAAATGCCAAAATTTTAAGTAAGCATTGACACTATTACCTTACTATAACATCATCTGATGCTTTAGGTAGTTGAAAGATTTAAATTACTTTATTCTTAGTAAATAGAGGATAAAATAGAAGATGTGCCTTATCTGATAGAATATTAGTCTGTTGTTATGTATAGACACAGATGTGTGTGTACATAATAGCCATTACCTGTGTCTGTCATCTCCACTGTTGCTGTGTACTTTCAGTGATAACAAACACAAAACTGGAAAACTGTTTCAACTTTTGTCTTCAATCTTACAGATGAACATTCATAAAATACAGGTTGAGTTCAAACTTAAGCATAATTTTTTTTTTTTTTTGTACAGACACAGATGTCTATACCTGGCCATTATTTATCTATCTTAATTTTTTTGATCAAAATTGCTGACAAAACTAGTACTTTAAGGGTTGCCATTATTCAAAGCAAAACAATGTCATGTCAGTATAAAAATCTCCAAAAAAACTTCTATAATAAAGTGAAAGCTGAGGGGACTAAAGAGTTTCCTCATATATATATTTCATTGAGGCGTAACTAATAAATGGAACCAGAGGAGACAGGGTTGTGCTGGAAGTGTGATGCCATGTGAAGTGGAGTGGTGCAAGATGTGAAGCTAAGCGGTCATTTTTAGCTGGAAGTGAACGGGAGTAAAGACGTGGGCTCAGAGAGGCTGGAAGAGGCTGTCAGAATGTCATCTTTGTCATGGCATTTGTCACTGATTAGTGCATGCCCCCATGCAGTAGTGTATTAGTCTGATCATATATGTGGAATTTCATGTCAGCTCTACCAATAACCATTGTCCAAGAATCAATAAAACACCCAAAAATAATTAGATATGGGCATATCAGATTATATGCAAAAATTGCACATGACAAAGATTTACAGCCTTGTGGGAATTCTTTTCTCTTGACGATCTTTGCCGCGCTGCTGGTCAATGCATCATACATTTCAAAACAAATTGAATGCAAATTAAGCACGATTTTACTACAAGTATTATCTGCCCTAAATGCCAAAAGAAAAAATTGTTATCTTACCGTGTTGTTGGAAAAACCTATTTTCTCTGAGCCCACGTCTTCACTCCCATTCACCTCCAGCTAAAAATGAGCACTCAGCTTCACGTCTTGCACCACTCAACGCAAAACATGGTAAACTGGTGTTGATGTGCAATAGAATGTTTTCAGGAGTTCACTTCTTTTACATTAGAAGTATAAATATTTTGATGCATCTAGAAAGATCTACATAATAGTTGTTAAAGAAAAATCCGAGCTTTTGGCCCCTGGGCCTTCTTTGGGGATTATCAGGACTTTATTTAACAACTATTATGTAGATCTTTCTAGATGCATCAAAATATTAATACTTCTAATATTACCAAGATCTATACGGTGAATCAACATGACTTCTTTTACATATACTGATAAAAATGTTGCCTTCAAAAATTTATGGGCTATGCAAAAAAAAAAAAAAAAAGGTAGCAAAATATCACCCTCTTGCTGAATTTAACAATTTTGAATGTGTAAAAGATTTTCATTCTATTTATATTTCTTTACCATTACCATAGTAGTTAAAAATGTTACATTCTTTTCATTTACAGTGTATATACATTGGTCTCTTCCAACCAATTTCCTTGCATGCTCCTTGAAAGTCTATCTGTTTTTTTTTAGCCAAATGAATGGTTCATGAAAATGCTGTGTAAACCCTCTGATTCTTCCTCTCCCTCCTGCCTTGTCTCCACTCCCAGATAAATGCATGTATAACCACAGCATTTCTAATGTACATATACCAGTATATACCTGTACATGTGCACTCACAAAAAATTGTACTTGAATGTGTTTGTGAGCTGTAGTGCACATGTACAGCACTGGTACATGTATGTGTAAGTATCAGATCAAACCCCTGCTGCATGCTGACTGATTGCCCTTTTTGAATGAAGTGTACAACTGTAGATTATAATTACGGTAATATGCCAAACAATTCGACCAAGAGTAATTAATTTCAAAGAAACATCATTTTGGTAGAATTGATTAAAATATAGAAATAAAAACCTTTAAAAAGGTCAGATTGTTTGGGGCATCTGGATTATACATCCCATCTTACTGGAAGTATTGCATCTTACGGGAAGTGTCACGCAAGATAAGCTGCAATTTTCGTTTAACATGTGTTTTAAGCATGTTTTTTCCTCCTTTTTATTTAAATTTTAATTTTCTAAAATATTTGCTAACATTACTTGAGATTCAAATAGACGAGATTTCATAATTTCCATCTATTAATTTTCTCAACCTACGATCATTTTCATGACGAACATTACACATTCAAGTGAAGAGGGATGCTTTCCCTCCCGAGACGGCCTGTTCACTTTAAAATCATTAGCTTTAGTGGACTCAAACAAGTTATAATATCATATTAAGTTGAATGACTGGCATAGTGTCTACGTACGCCCTATCTGAATTTAAATACCTCATCTGATATCAGTTGATTTTTTATATTTTTTGCTGTCCGAGATCAGAAATATTTTTTAAGTCACAAGGTCTGCTCGGCATGGAAGCATTTCCAAAGTAAATTCAATTGTCCCTATCAAAGAAGAGTCAAAGAATACCAGTTGATCCCGCTGACTTTTCGGTCGAATGATTGTAGTGCATGTAGGATCTTGAGCAAACTTTTTTATTCTTCAAAATGCCCCCCCCCTCATCAGTTAGGGGCTGACGAATCAGTAAACTGAGGAAAGTCTGCTAAATAAGCACAAACTGTGTGTCTATAAGCACTACTTTTGTCATTAGCACAAAAGAAATGATGGGTATGTCTTGCTTCCAGATAAGATCTTCAGTTAATTGTTTCTTCCTCATTGACACAATTGACAAAGGGTTGAGGCATGCAGCATCTATTTCACTTGCTTGAAAATTTTCCAAGCTTTGCCTACCATATGGACGAACAATCGGAACAAAAAAAAATCCTGTTGCATGATATTGACATTTGGTCTAAATGTTTGAGCCCAGAAAAAATAATTTTAGGAAATAATTTTTTTGGTCGGATTGATCGCACCGGTCAAACTGTTTGGCACATTACCATACATTTCTATACCACTCTACAGATAAAAAGGTTTGCAATATTGTTAGACATTTTTTGTGATACAGTCGCGGCCTTGAGCTATAGGATATTTAGAGTATGGAGACAGGAAATCTTCAGTAGTGTCACTAACATTGTCTTTGCATCATTGTAGTGTTCTTATGCAGATTAATTATTTTCTAATGAATTTTCAGATAAGGCAAAGGTAGACGACTATTATGCAGAAGAAAAGAAAAACAAGTCACATAGAAATGTTTCACCAGAGTCCAGTAGAGAAAACTATGAACACAAAAAAAGAGACAGGTAACAGTAGTAGAATGACAATAATGAAAAAATACCATGTTAAATGAGGTATTCAGTTATTATTATGGTACAGATATAGTTAACAATTCCCTACAGTATGCATACTTTACGAAGGGATTACCATCCATTAGACATGTGGATAATATGTCCTCCTAGACTACAACAGCCTGCGTACCCATCTCTTGGATTTAGGTCAACTCGATCCGCGTAAATTTTGGGCTTTGTCAGTACATGGGTAGGCCCACCCAACTACCAGACTCCGCACTGAATGATCCTGAATTCACCAGTATATGGGACCACATTGTGTCCTATCATTATGTAGTTGTAATACATATGGAAAAGAAAAATATATAAATGAATAATGTGTATTTTTGTTATACCCACCTTCACCTCGGCAGAGGAAGCCTGCTGCTGCTGCTGCTTCACGTCTAAATAACACATTTCTTTTGAATTGCACTTCTAAGTTCATCATCCAAAATGCCAGAAAACTGATGCACAGTTTCAAAATGAGATTTCTCTGCCTTTTGACTTGTGTAAGCGAGTTTGTTGTCCAATTTATCAGAAAAGTGCTGCTTCGTATTGTCCAAATAACTTTTTTCTGCCTTTTGACTCGCCGTTGGAAGTTCATCACCCGATACGTTAGAAAAATGTGAAAAACTCGGCTGCTTATACATTTCTGGAATGTCGCTCTGTCATTTGGCTTTGCCAAACAATGGATGAGAGGGGGTGACTGCCACGTGCGGAAGATGGGCAGGAAATCGGCCAACTACTCACGGAAAACCACTGACCCTTGCCTCTGCCAATACACATGCAACCACAATCCATTCACACAAATAAAAGTGATTGGACAAAGACCACAATTGGACAGAAACTTTCAGCATAAATGAGGGGGAAGTCCATTCTCAGCGTGTTCTATTCAAAGTTAGGGGTTTTGGGTGGGGAACATGCACGATTTCCCTTTCTGTGTATGATAAATAATGCACTGTTTACACCCTATTGCTCGGCATGCTGTCGTGTATATCAGGCTCGTGGACAGTGCATTATTTACATGTAGTACTTAATGAAATTGTGTTTTACATTCTACATATAGGAAGTGGCAACGAGAAGGGGACTCCAAGGACAAATCTAGAGATGCTGACAGGAAACGTAAATATGAAGATGATAAATCCGAGTAAGCTCTTAGATCCCATTTCCATAGATTTTAGATAGATCTATCCCTGTGGGGAGTTTCACTAGATGACTGTCAGCTTAAGCGTCTGTCCCGCCTACCAAAAGTGAAAGGGGGTAATTAACTATGGTGCGCGCTCGGCTGACTGCAATTTAGCGTGAACCCCCAGGGAGTTAGGTCGATCTAAATCTAAATCTCTGGATCGATCTAAATCTCTGGGGGTTCACGCTACCCATATATTTATATTGGTCTTTAATTTAATACTAAAATATATGAGGGGAGAATGTACATAGAAATAGCTGAATATAAAATAAGATTGAAAACAGAGGTCCACATGTATGACTACTGCATTTATATTAGAAAAGTAGAAAGAGTTGAATGAGATGTCTACAGCATAGCATTTAAGTGTATAAAACTATTACTCATGATTTATTAGTAGACACTGGGCAATGATCTTCTTAATTTCATTAAACAATGATGTTTATTAATGTGAAAATAGTTTCATTGGATCTAAGTTTTTGATTGTCAGAAAGTTTTCTTTTATGATAATCCCAGATATTTAATTTACCTGTTGACTGTTTTATCTGTTCACTCTGGCTTTCGCATATTATCCTGAAGCCCTGTACTAGTAACATTTTTTGCATTTCTAAATAAGCAATAGTAAAGGTCTTTATGCTGTTAAGCATTATGTTGAATTATTTTATGCACTGTCCTCATTATTTAAAGGGATAATAACTCTTCGTATGAGATCTATGACCCCATTCCCTGAGATAAGATCGATCCAACTAGATCAACCTAACTCCCCAGGGGTTCACGCTAAATAGCTGTCAGCCGAGGGGGTACGAAAGTTAATTACCCCCTTACAACTTGTAGTAGGCGGGACGGACATTTAAGCCGGATTATCTGACAGTAATCTAGTGAGACTCCCCACGGGGATAGATCGATCTAAAATCTATGGGAATGCACCCTTTGTTTCACAATAAATACATTATAAACAACTCGTGGAAATATAATATATTCTGTTTTACCACAAAAATGGCAGTTATAGCTATTTTTCTGATATCTGATATCTTTTGTCATTAGACCATTTGATCTCCATAGATGGCTATACTCTGTAATAATCTCACAAGAAATTATTACAAAAAAAACAAACTTTTTGGAAAAAAAAATAAGGGACTAACTTTGAATGTAGAAATGGATTCATTAACCATTAGTAAGTATGGGGAAATTGTTGTTTACTCTAGAAAAATTCATTTTTTGGCCAAAACGGACAGTTATTATCCCTTTAAGCTCTATTCTTATTGTCCACGGTACCTGCTTTGCATAATTAAAATAAGCTGTTGATTGACTTTGACTTTGCTGTTTAGCATTATTTATTGTTACTCCAAAATTGACTAAGTGAAATATATATAATAGAAAATTTAACACCAAATCTTAATTATGCATAACATGTAACACAGATATTAGGAACATGTTACATGTTAACATATATATTTGTTCTCATGCTGGCATTTTCAGTGTGTGAATTTAAACTCATGGGCCTGAAGCCTTATGCTAGTAACATGTTCCTAATATCTGTGTTACATGTTATGCATAATTAAGATTTGGTGTTAAATTTTCTATTGTATTTGTATTTGCTTTGTATTATTGCATCATTATTGACAAAATACCTATTTTGTGCATCATTATTTTCTGGGTTGTTCACTTGTATGTTTGACAGCTTTGCCTCCTTGTTGTATTCACATGAAGATGTTTGTAGATTTGTAACCAGTTGGTATTTGACAATTGACTTATAAACAGTATGAACTAGCAGGCATAATTCCCATTAACATCATTAATTTTTTAGAATTACAATACTTTTTTTAGGTCTCATACAAGTAAGAAGTCCAGTAGCAAAAGTTCCTCACACACAGATTGCTGGCTCCATCCACTGCTCAGGGTTAGAATAGTTGATAAACACTACAGGAAGGGGAAGTACTACAATATGAAGGTAAAGTTGAAATTATGATGGTTTATCTACATGAAACTTCTTTTGCAGGTGACTTCTCAAGTTTGAATGCCTTAGATGAGCCCCAGTTTAGAACAACTGTAGGTCATGTAGTCATTTGTTATCTTGAGCATGTGGTTCCTGGTGAATAAACAATACAAACTATTATTTCATGACACAAATGTAAAAACAGTGGTTGCAAGCATGGCAGTGCAAACGGGGAACCGTTAATCTGATTACCTACCCATTCTTTACATTCCGTATTAGCTGCAGAGAACACAATAATCCATCATTAAAAATAGTTCAGGGTTGAGAAAAATAACCTGTAGGCCAACAGTGAGAGGCCCAGATGAAAGCTGGCCTAATTGTTTGCACTCTTTTATGTGATGCTTGAGACCACTATTTTTCTGCTTGTGCCATGAAATCGCAGTATGAGCCATTAATTCAGCATTTGCAATCAATCACAAAACTGTGGCTCAAAATCACAAATGGCACTTTGTTTGAAGGGTTGTACTTTTTTAGAGCCTTTAAAAAACCATGATACTTTAATTAATGCATTTGTACACCACAAAGGAAAGAGATCAAGTTGGAATGAGGCAGTTGATGGTAACGTAAAGGAAAATGATGTGTGATAGCTCTTGCAGCAATTATATTAATGGTGTAAAAACTGTTATTCTCCAACAGGGAATTAGGACATCAAGCAAATTATTATAATTCTTCGAAGCCAAATTGTTCCCTGAGGTACAGGTAGACTGGTTTTACATGTAGATGAGCTTTTTGGAAACATTTTGGCCTTATTTATATGTAGGCAATTGCAATGTTGTCAAGCCTTAATTGTATTGTTGTCTAATCTAGGTTGAAGTAGTGGACGTTGTGACAACAAATACATGTGTATGTAAGACAGAACAGGGCAAAGTGCTTGAAGGTGAGCAGTAAATTGGGACAAGCTTTCTCAACTGACACAATCAGAAATGTGGTCTGTGAAAAATTAACCCATCTTCCATTCCAATGTCAAAATATTTTTGTTTTATAGCTTGTGTACTGCTGTGTTATGAATTTCATTTCCTTTTTGTACAAATGTACTGCTTGTTAAAAAATCAATATTACACTATGTACTGAAGTATATGGTTTGAACTTTCTATGTATTGAAAAGCAGTTGTTTAGTTGTTTCATAAATGTGATAGATTTCTAGTCATAAATTTCCAGTAACTCATACTTGAAAACCTTACCATGCATTCCTATGACTATCAGCATGATGATGCAGTATTAAGATGTGTGCTCATACTTCAGATCTGTCTCAGTCCATGGTCGAAACTGTGATCCCTAAAGCTGATTCTGCTCATGTGATGATTGTCAGTGGGAAGTACAAGGGGCAGGTATGTAGCATATGATAGGGTTTGTTCAGCCTTTAATGTGACTTATTTGAATACAGAGAACATGCTGCAGTGCATTTTATTTCTTACATGGCTGAAAAAGTGTTAAAAAACTTGATTTGGGATATTTGATTTACTGTAGCATGTAGGACATCTACCTCTACCTGTAGAGTTGCTGTGGTTGATTTTAATATGGTGTTTTATGGTGTGTAATGATCATATGATTAACTACCCTGACATTTAATGGGCACTTCAAAAGTCCAGTTATGTTCTGGTTAATGATGCTGCTTGATCTACTGTTCTAATATGTTCACATACATATGTACCACTGTGCATGTGTGAAGGTTTATTCTGGTGTAACTGTGCAATAAAGTACTTTTACACTACAAACCTGTAAGCTGAAACCTATTCAGTTGATGAATTAAACCATTGTGTACTGAGTTTACTCCTGCACCCATTTGATATAACGGTTATAATGCATTTAAATTTAGTACCTGTTTAGCCAGTCATCCCAAAAAAGGTGTGAATCTACATATAGCTGCCTCTGAATAGTCTTATGTACAGACACATCATGTCTGTACATATAGCCATCACCTGTGTCTGCTGTCGCCATAGTCATTGCTCTCACTGTGCTTTTTCAGAGATAACACACTTCAAGGAAAACCTATATGCAGTTTGCCTCACAGCTTAATTAATGGTTATTATAATTTTCACGTATATGTATATGAGAGGTAGGTGTATGGAAAAACACTGGTAAGATTTGGATTTGTTTTTAATAGCATAAGTACAACAGACACATTCTATCCAGGCATGTTTAAAGAAGTCTCAGAGTGCCAGAGAGGTGACAGGAAGAAATAAGACTAAAGAAATAAGTTATATAGCCAAAAAAGCAAAACTTGGGTTGGTATATTTTTGTCTTCTTTGCAGGTCGTCTTACATGTGTAAGTACATTTAATAAATTATATACATTTTTGCATAAATAAATTACAAGTGCTTTGATGAAATAGTGGGATGGGTGTGGTATATTATACATGTATGTAAGATAACAAGCAGCGATAGGTTCCTTTATACCAGGGTGTCAAAAACAGAATGCTAATACCTTTAGGTCAGAAGTCTGATGAAGTCCCTGTACTTAATAACTCCCATTTCAAATAATGACATGTTTTTCGTGTAACCATTTTGATTTATGAAGTCTTTAGATATAATTAAGTTACTGTTCAGATCAATATGATCTGGTAAGTTACCATCGTTCTGAATATTAACCAAAGACATTCCTTTTTAAGGGGCCACAATGTGCTCACCAGGTGTTATAAATATTTAATTAGGCACCTTTTTGAATCTCTGTCAAACTAACATTTCCTGGTTATTCAGATTTTAAAAATTCATTTATGCAGCAACCCGACTTACTGGTACATGTGTATGTTCTCAGCTTTTAAGACGGCTACACTGAAACAAAGTATTACTGATTACAAATTTAATAAAATAACTGTATAAGCAAAAATACATGTATCAGGTAAAAATATTTGCTTTTTACAACATTAGGAAGTTCTGATTAATCTGTTTTATCTTATTACGGGAACTGTGCGAACAATTTTAACAAGTCTGTGGGCCTTCCTGATTTCTTTTTCTTTCAAATGTTTAATTTGACTTTCACAACAACAACAACCCACCATCACTGTTGAATTCAAATGCTAGTTATGCTGACAGTTTCAAATTAATTGAGTAGCAATTGTTAATTACTTGTCCTTCACAAACCCTGTACATATAAGAAGAGATAGTCTTTGTTCAGGTACACCGCTTTGCGTGACTTGGGATAAAATTTGTTTACAGAAAGAACTAAGCGCAAAGATTCTTAGGCGACGACTACAGTTGCAACAGCATTCCAGATTTTAACAATCTTCTTAGCAAGTCAAGCCATACTTGATATCAAATTTTTTTAAATTTAAATAGTGCAGAAGTTGTAAATCATAGAGTTTTATAAATTGGTGAAAATTCCAGTTGCGGGAAATTGAATATATATAAAATATTGCCTCATTGAAAAGATCAAAGAATTATCATATTGCTGCATTTGGTCAGTGTTTAATTGTCCCTTGTGGATAAAAACTAGGTGTAAGCAATTTAATCACTTGCCACATTAACTCTGAAATGGTCATGGAATAGCATGGGTCATAAATTAGGAAACTGACTCATGTAGCTATAGCTTCCTAAGTTTACACAGATTTTCTCCAAATTTCTTAAATGCATTATTAGGTAACATAGTGTCAAAATTGACACAAAAGCACTATAAAAGGAAGACTGTTCTATTTATTCCTGTGTAACTTGCAGAGGTGCTCTGCAGAAGTGAAAGCCACTAAGTTTTTTTTGTTTTTTTTTTTTAATATTTTGCCTTGTATGTTTGACTTTTTTACATGATTTATGCAATTTTTGTGAAGTTTTCATTTTTGTCAATCTGGCATTTTCATTGTGTGAATTTGAACTGTCATTGGCCTGTCATTATACCTACCCTCACCTACCAGTGCCAAACATGGACTCTGACAAAAAGCCTAGAACAGAAGATAGCCGCCTGTGAAATGAGATGCCTAAGAAAAGCAATGAACATCACGAGAAGGGATAAAATCAGGAACAGTGTGGTATGGGTAACAGTCGGGACAACACCTGTCCATCAGTATATTCAAAAACAGACTATCAAATGGTTTGGTCACCTGGCAGGAATGCCCCCACATCTACCGAGCAAAGCGTACATAAAGAAACACTCCGGTTTCAAGGCAAGAGGAAGACTGAGAAAGAAGTGGGTAGATGGAGTACGAGAGACCTTGCAATCGAACAACATCCCACTCAACCAAGCACTCCAGCTCGCCAGAGACAGAAAACTCCAACTTTTTCTCCCCTTGACACCCTAAAGGGTACAAGAGGGATGAAAAAAAATTGGCCTGAAGCCTTATGCTACTTACATATTCCTAACATTTGTGCTACATATTGTGAGTGTTTAAAATTTGGTGTTGACTTTGCTGTTAGGCATAGTGTATTATTGCATCAAAATTGAAAAAAAATAAGCATAATTTTCTGTTTTTTTTTTAATTTGTCTGTACATTTGACAGCTTTGCTGCCTTGTTTTCATCTTACATGATTCAATTACAATTAGTTTTATTAGGTTGATCTGTTTGGGACTTTTTATTTTCTTTCCAGCTGGGAGAAATTATCAAAAAAGACAAATCAAAGTGCACCACCACAGTACAGTTGCTGAGCAGCAGAGACAAGGCTGTTAAGTTACACTTTGACAGTGTGTGTGAATACCTGGGAGATGTCAATACTGAGCCAGACTTCTAGCAGAGAATACTCAGTAGACATGGTACAAATGTATAAATCCCCAGCTCTGTCATATGAAAGGAAATGAACTGCAAGCTAATAAAATTTTTAATTTTAAATTAAAGGACACTGAGAACTTATTGTCCATCAACCAAGTTGATACTGGTTTTTACTTGCACATGAACTATATCAGTTGGAAATGCCTCAGTTGCAGGACTTCAGATGACTACCTCATCTTTGTTGGATGTATGTATATTTTAACTGGTAATTCAGGCATTTGATTGAGAATTCTGACGTAGTTCTTTCTTTAGTGAAGAAATTAAGTTAATGATTAAATTATTTGCACAGGCTATATACAGGTGTTTTAACAAAAAGTGAATGGAACCTTCAAATGGATTAATCAAAACAATTTTTGTTAGAACTGAAAAATATTAAAGAATATTAGGAAACCTATAATATTTATTCACCTGCCTTGCAATGAAAATTGTATTTACATTAGTTAATATGTACATTAAAATATTTTTGTAAGCCAAAATTAGAAATCATTTTTGGTTTCTTCCTGAAAGTGGATTGAAATTTTAGTTGTTAAGTTTTGTACTAATCACTGTGTTTGTCATTTTTATATAAATCCACATTGAATTTTATGACTAACTTGCTGTGTTTTACCTAATTTGAAAAATAAGGCAAGAGAATATGAGTAACCAACCTTTTAACATGTAAAATAAAAGATTCACCAGTAATTCAGTTCAAATTATGATCTAATTATGATAAACAAAACGTCAATCACAAACAATCCGCAAAGGGACTTTTACATGCCGTAATTGATAGGTGTCGGTCAAAGCTGCCACGCACGGACGGCTTGGTTGGCAGTAAAATAAACAAACGTCACACTGTTCAGCAAAGAGCATCAAGTTTTTTTCGCAGAAGACGGATACAAGCAGATGAAAGGGCGCTTTCCTCAGATGTATTGATATGTGGATGATATGGTTGATTTTTTTTATTCATCCTTTTCGTTGGCTGTCAGTTTGCGACTCACCTGCTCGTACTATGTGATAGGAAGTGATGTACTCGTTAATTTACTCAACGCTTACACATAATATTATAGTTTTTGCGATTTTTCTCTTGGAAGCTATCCACCGCAGTCAGATTCACACATCGTAGTATCCGGGTCGGTGCTACTCTGCGGGGGATTCTTGCTCAAGTGCATTCAGTTGAATCAGCTTAATTTTCCGACATGCCTCGTTCAGCAGCTAAGGGGTAATTCACTGCCGCGTGTTGAGGGGGTGTTGCATTTCTTTTGGAGGTGGGAAATTGTTGCAAACGGGAGAAAATATGAAAGATAATCTAACAAAAGTAAATACATGATAACACTGTGAGTGACGTCATTTTCGAGGCAAGACTTTGCAGACAAGCGTTCTGTTGAAGTTTGGTCTTGTAACTGATATTTACATGTCGGTCCTGCATGTCCTGTGGGTTATCTATTGCTGGCTGTTTCTTCGTTCTGAAAACCAGAGACCAGAGATGAGTTTGATAGTATTTTTTAAATGGAAGTTATTTCAAGAAGACTAATTTTGCGTCACCGTTTTCATTGAATTTTTTAAAAAAATGACTATGCATAACCGGGGTAAACTTATAAACAGACTATGCTGTTCTTGGTTCGCACGTTTTGCAAATGTAGATTTTTGTTTACATTATGCCGTCAAGTACGCATTTTAAAACTTAATGTGAAGAAAACAAAGCGACGCAAGACAATTTTAAATTATCAATAAGCAAAACGAACATGAAACTTACAAAAATTGGTAACTTTTTTACAACTTTTTGGTTTTGTATTAAATAATTGTCTTCACGACGACATTATCAAGGTATATTTTGGCCTGCGTGCGGGGGTTATTCTTATTGGAATATACGCATTTTGAATTTTCGATTTTGTTGACGCTACTGAATTTGGACAAAAATGTTCCTCGATAAAATTTGCAATCAGTGATAAGACTTAGGTCAACTTTGAAAAAGTCAAATTTGTTTATTAATTCTGGTCTAAACCCTGTGGATTTTGTTCTGATCAGCGCTCCGTCGAGCATTCCTGCACTTTTAAATAAAGATAAAGTCCATTTTCAAAATGCATACCCAGTAGTATCTTCGACTCGTTTAAGGTTGTACTTTATATTTTTAATGCTTATGTTGGGATCGAGAAGCGCCCTGAATCGAACCCACGACCTGCCGATTGGGAGGCAAGCGTGCTACCGACTTCCTTTAGGATATTGCTACCCTATAGTATGATCCAAATACCGAAAATAATTTTTCCTGCAACTATTACTAAATATTCAATAATGCATCTATCATTGTGCTAGTTTAAAACAATGAAAAAAACCTTGAAAATATAAAACATCGGCGTTTATAGTTTTTCGTTGCAAGGTACATGTATTAGGATAGGGGACTCAAAGCTTTAATCGTCAATTGAAAACCTTTCTATTTAGAGGTGAGACAGCAATCGGTATTGGGCAACTTTATCCCTGTACAAGATTTTATCACGAAAATGAAGGAGCAAGTGTCCTTTGCGTGTTGAGTACGGCGCACGCCCTCACGGCTAACGAACAAAGTAGAAAGCACGGTGGGAGTGGGTCGCACGTGCGTCACCTTCACGCCAGGAGTATAAAAGGAGTGCTCACGATGCACGCTCGTGTCTCAACAATAAACGTCGATTGTGCAACGTGTACAACAATTTTCTAATATGCCTCCAAAAGGCGAGAGAAAGAAGCTTAGAAAGCAGAAATGAAGGGAGGAGGAAAAAGTAAGAAGGGGAGAACTGGAGGCAAAATTGACGTACGCAGTCAGTACATCATCACAAGCGTGTGAGGCACGTGTGAAACAAAAGTGATGGAAACGGGAACTACTTTCGCTGTGCGTTGCATTCTCTTCATAAGTGGTGAGTGCGTGCCACGTGCGCAGGTAGCAAGACAAAGAGTACAATTTTTACGGCCATCGCACCTTGCAATTAGCCTCCTTGCTTGGACGTCTCACGTGGCCCCTGCGACTCGCAAGGCAGACTTGCGCCTTTCCATTGCAAACTTTCCTGTGCCTCTACGATTTCCACGGATACTATTGCACCCAAAATTCGCAGGGGACGTACGATCCTAAAATTCGTGCGTCCGGTTGTGACCGAGGCTTTAAAGGTTTCTTCTTGGCATTGATGCCTCTAGATACTTTTGTCCAATGTTGCAAAGGTCAAATTTAGCTTAAACAGATTTTGTCTGGATTAGAAAGTGGAGGTTCCCATATTTTGCGTATTTTTCGGGGCATACAGAAATAGAGCTATATCTAAGTTGTAGTTCCGCAATCTTCAGCTTTTCAAATATTAACTGTTTGACTTCTAAAATGTGAGTCATCATATTAATTAATAATGATAATATAATATAATAGATCTTTTAAAATAAACGGCTTTATATTGATATAGCGCATCGAAGGATAAGTATCGAAAGCACGATATCATAATTCAATATATAATTCGCGTGTGTGTGTATGCTAATGTGTGCACGCGTGATTTATAGTAGGCAAACGCATTACATGAAATGGTGATTATGTACAATGCGAAAGGGAGTTTACATACAATTGTGCACATGAAAATATGAAATGAAAAGAAGGCACGACCATCACAGTGGTTGCAGAATAGATACTCGATTAGAAGTCAACACGTACAAATAATAGATACAATTTTTGGGACTAATTACCCTCTCCCAACCACCCCCTACCCCGGACAACCCCACCACCCCTTGAAAATATGATTTAATACGATTGCGTGCATTTAATCCAGGTGCATCCCCTGGAAGAGGTGGGGTAAACACGCATCCCTCTGATGAACTAATTGTAACTTTTAATCGCTTCACCACCAGTCCCAGACAGGAATAAACAACGCCTTTAAATTTTTCTGTCTCTTTTCATGTTATTATTATTATTATTATTATTATTATTATTATTATTATTATTATTATTATTATTATTATTATTAACCAAACCTCCTGCTTTTCAGAGTACATAATAACAATCAAATGAAATGTAGATGAACTGATAAAATGAATTTTGCTAGATCTAAAAAATGCCATGTAATAACAAAGTTGTAATTTTAGTTTCGGTAGCAATTAATAACTATAGTTTTCCTCTCAGGTGTGCTTTAGGGTGTAAGGTCAGAGTAAGGACATTATGTAAATATCCCAAATCTTGTAAATTGTCCATACGTCCGTCTGTATACAAAAGTTCAGTAAAATATTTAAGATATGTAAAAATGATTCAAATAAATAATTCAAATGCAAGTGTATTTTCTTGCCTTGTGTGTGTGCGCGCGGGGTAACTGTCTTGGAGGGGAATTGTCTTGTTTTTTTTGTTTTTTTTTTTTTTTACTGTCAATCTGGGCGGTGATACTGCCTCCATTGTGTTTTCCTTGGCCGACAATATGCGTCTATTAAACGATGATAATGATGGGGACTGCAGTACAATCACGGCGCTACATGCACCATGGAATGCTTCTATCCTCCTGTCTGTCCCCTTAATTGAAATAGCTTGTCTCGACCAGCCCATCAGAAAAAAAGAGAACCTGCAGCATTCAAAGTGACCACATTTTAGACAAAAATTGTTTGAGTTACTTGTGGAAACGTGTAATAAAGTGTTCTTTGAATGCACCAATTTGCTTCTGCTAGACTTTGGTGTGGGCGCTATTTGCCATCCAACACACATTGTACAGTGTATATGGTTAAACCATAACTTTGTTGAACAGGATACTTTTGAAAAATAAGATGATCACAAAATATTTTAGAAAGTTATTGAATTGTCGGTGTTTTTCACATTTGAAATTTGATGAGTAGCTTTGTTTAATAAAAAAGCAGGTTCACCACTACATGAAACAGTTCTTAATGATTACTATGTACGTAAATGAAACACACCAAGTCACCCTTCGCAGTTTTTAAAATGCAAATATGAGCAGAACATTGTGAATCCATCTCCCCATTTTGAAGGGGGGATATGGACGGGTTGTGCAAAATTTGCCTCACAATATTGTGCTAATTTTGTGTTTAATTTCTTAAAATATTTTACCTCTTCGTGGAAATCGGAATTTTGTCTACTTAGTATTTTCTCCAGTTTGGTTTTAAAATGGTTGTATAAGAAAAAATCCCCCTTGTTGAGCTGCTTATATTTTCGGGCAACGTACGGTTCATTGTTAAGTTTGATATCTTGTATGTAATCACTGGAGAATTGTGTTCCGCTTTTCAAAATAGTGTAAACGATTTGGTAAAATTCCCAACAAAATAAACGTTTTAATAGAACAAGGCATTCATCAAAATATTCCAAAATTACCACAAAATGCAACTCTCCCTCTAACATGTTTACGTAGCTCATCATGCGTTGTGCTGAAAAGTGTCCTTTAAACCCCAAATAGCGACTTAATCGGTTCCAAGTTAGGTTGGCCATATCCCAATACTTTGGATTATCGATAAACTGGTGTAGCTGTTTCTTCCCTTTTAGACCAATTCGTCTTCCAATATGGTTATAGTTGTAATATGATTTAAAGTATGATAAAGGTTCTCTAAGAATTGCTAAGAAAACAGTGCCATTGGGAGTTAGTTTGTGATATGACTTCAGATCGAATTTCCCATGATCGGCCATGACATCAAATACTTCGTGAGTAGAGGAAGGATATTTAAGAAGATAATTAAGATTGGGACGTGCGGGAGCAACGTTTAAATTATCCATAAATGCATTTCTTAGAATCATTCTTGACAGTGTTGAACTGCCGCACTTAGGGACTTTGATAAATACAACGTGTTGCTTTGGCTTACACGTTCTCCTTGATTTGTTCCAAGGTTTGAGGGATTTCCTTAATTTTCTAACGCATTTTGCTATCTCTAAAGACTTCAGCGAACCATTTGTTTTGGGGCTCAAAGTAACATTCTTCTTCGCTGCAGACCCACCTGCAGATAACACAGGTTGATGCGTGCTATTAATTGTGCTGTCATGTAACAGGTATGGTGACTCCGTGACGTCACTGACACTTTGCCGAGTTTCCCAGAGGTTCTTCTCTTTCAAAGTTACCGTTACGGCCTTCTGTTCTAAAGCAACCTCCAACGTCATTGATCTAAAAAGAAAATAAAAACATTCTTGCCATAAATAAATATCGGCATCAAATCCCATATATAATATTGGGTTTTTGCTCTTGACGTTATTTTTATCACTGTTAATGTACTTACGGTTTCGGAGGATTCCATGAATGGGCACTCATACCGGTACTGCTGAACCAGAGAAGAAGTCCACCGGCGAGCATCGCTGTTAGAAACAGACCTAGAATAACTTTCTTCGCCATTATCGCCCTGCTTTTATGTGCGTCCACATCATGTCTACAGTACTGTATTTCTTCTACAAAACGCACTTTAACGATGGCGTCGATTAGCATTGACCTGTCCAACATTTTGTTACATAAGACCTATATGCACAGGTACTCTAATTATATTTTTATAACGATGAGATAATTCAGCCGTTATTAATTCTTAATCCCACCTTTGTCTTCTGCAATGATAGTATGTAGTACTCCAAAACCCTGCCAGCGATTTTTCTTAAAAGTCTTAGTTCAGATTCACCGTTGACAAAGCAAAATAATTTTGGGGTGACAAAAGGAAGAGCTAACTGTGTGGTTGTTGCTATGTTAAGTCCTGAGTAAATTACAAATCTAGGCTATTCTTCATAGTGGAAAAGATGCTGACTTACAAATGTTATTAAGGGCATGATTTATTGCAACTACTAGTCTGCCTCCCGTTTTCCCATTTTTCATATCTGGTTATTATTATAAGAAGCTTCTTTTTTAAATTATGATAAAATTTTCGCACAGGTCATTGACAAAGAGCGCAATTCCTCTTTTTTTAAACGTCGAGTAGGCCTACTTATTTGTGGAAACATCAGCGTCACCGTATATTCAAGAAGTTGTAAAGAGCTTTTTACAACTTCCTGTCTTATTGGAAGACCTTGCTCAAGCCATTCAGAACAAACTCATCCGAGGACAAGCTGATCCACGGATCAAATATTTTCGACCTAATTGAAAGCTTGCCGCATAACCTTTCGATAAACACTGAATAGATTGCCCGCGGGGATTACGTGGTAAGAGTGCATGGAGAACAGCGGACTAACAGATCCGCGGATTAAATATGGCGAGCCACTAAAAAAGTTTGTCGCTTAATTCCTGATTAGACACTGAATAGGTTCCCATCTAGGATTACGAAACAAGCATTCAAGTGGGTCGGCCATATTTGATCTGCGGATCCGCCAGTCCGAGGATCAACCTTGGTTGTTAATACGGCCTTATACTAAAATAACCTGCTGTATTACTGCTTATCGTGACCCGTACAATTATTTACAAATATAACCCATAGCCTCAGTAATTGCAATGAAGTAATGTACTGTACACAATAATTCTTGAGACAGTTGCCGCATCTGTACATGAGTTTTATATTTCACTTCTTTACATTATCAAAACGTGTGTAATCTAAATAGTAAAGTGCGTCACATAATCGCGTGCCCACATGTTTCTCTGCCAATGTATAGTTGTGGTGATACCCAGCATCTATAATTCAGTATGCCATCGAACATTCGCCGTAAAATGAATGCGTCCTTGAAATGTAATATTGTGTTCTATTCCATCTCAGTTTATATTCTGAGGAAAAGGAAGCACTCGACAACAAGTGGGCCTTGGTGATGATTTTATTTTGAAAGTTACTGATATTGAATGAAAACGATTCTTTTGCAACATATTTTAGTCTGGTGTCTTAGGGCAAAAAAATGGCCAAATCGTGACACAGCGGATAAAAGCACCAAATTTTGCGTGTGGGTATCTTTTGACATACTAAATCAAATAAGAGCCGTAGCCCACTGAAAAATTTTACCGTTTGGTCAAAAAATCCAAAATGGCCGCCAAATTGTGGAATTCTATAGAAATATATATATACCTATATTGATTTTTATCAAATAAGGTATTTTCTCAGTGTTTTCCACATAGTCTATTTGGCTCGTTCCGATACAACGTGTACGGCGTCAAATACTTGAAATTCACGGAATAAAACTTAGAAAATAATTTTGTATTGTGAAAAATACAAATACACAAAATAACAAAACAAATGGGCGGAAATTTGTGTAATTGCTCAGAACAATATTTCTTGTTTGTCATTAAACTTCTTTATGTGTTAAATTCGGACCAAATTTGGTGAATACTGACAGTATATTATTATTAAAATTGGATAAGGTCTTACCCAAAAGTAGTGGTTAATTGTCCCTGCTTCAGGTTGACCGAAACAGTCATGACTGATTTTTTACATTGTCACTAGTCTTTAAATAATTGAAAATAATTAAGAAAACGTATAGATCTTGCTGATGGCCTATCTTAAAGAGATAATAACTCTTCGTTTTGGCCAAAAAATGAATTTTCCTGGAGTAAAGAACAATTTTCCCATACTTACCAACATTCAAAGTTAGTCTCTGGTTTTTTTCTAATTTTTTTTTAGCCATATATGGAGTATAGCCATCTATGGAGGTCACGTGGTCCGATGACAAGCTCAGATATCAGAATAACAGCTATAACTGCCGTTTATATTAAACAGAATATATTATATTTCTATGAGTTGTTTACTATGTTTTTATTCCGAAATATAGATCTCATACGAAGAGTTATTATCCCTTTAAACTCAAGCATCAACGATAACGCCATTTTCGCGAAGAATTCCTCACAAATAATTATCATGCATTGCTTTTAACATAATAGCCGGTTTTAATTATTGAATCGTTACAAACCTCGTGCCGACTAATGATCCTACCACCTGCTATACAGTTACAATTCGCATGCATTAATGATCGTATCGCCTTTGCTTGCGAGTTGTGAAATGCATACATAATGCGATATGAGTAAAACTCTAATTGAACGCACCACATTTTGTGAACGTTTTCCTGGGTCAGATGAATGTAATTTGCAACATTTTGCCTTGGTGATTTACTTGATATCGGCAAAATTAGACATTTCAATATCTATACGATATTGCTGCTGTAATTGAGCTATTGTAGACTTTGAGATGTTATGATAGTAGTCCCGCATTACAGAAACTGTTCGTATCTTCCCTGCATCTTCTGGTGGGAATTTTAGCGCAGGATCGGCATTCAAAATTTTTAATATATTCTCGGCGTCCTCAGACATAGTATCAAAGCTCCCAATGACGTCATAGTCTATTTGACAAGGAAAGCACGTGGTAAACGGAGGTGCCCAATGTGTATTATACTTACCCGGATGTTCAGTAACGTAACGCAAAAATTCATCGAATGTTATGTCTATACTTGGAAATAAATCTGGAATATTTTTCAGGTCGGCTTCGAATGTTTTCCCTGATGGCATCTGACCGAGTATTTTTTCTTTCTGGCGTTCTATCTTTATTGGGAATCCAGATTTTACACCCCTAAAGCGCGACATGACGTAGTTCCCCACGAGTGACAATATTTCGGGGTGTTCATACGGCTTGTTTTCAATCTTGTTTCTAAATACCGAGAGCAAACGCTCAAGAGGATTTCTAAAAAACATAGCCTTTTTGTAAGTTTCCAAAATATGTTTTCTGTCGTCCACTGAATATTGATTCAATGGCTTTATGTATTTCGCTGCAAGTTCATAATGGACATCCCTCGCCCTCACTTTCCTGATATCGTACGTATTAAGTGCACCCGCTAGTGCAAGCAACGTGCGCTTCCAGTTCGTATTGGCAATTTTGGGAACGTAGCAAAAGGCAAACTTTGCTTTTTCTACCACCAGTAGGTTACCCAACGAGGCAGCAATGTGACCCAAAAAGTTGAGGTCTTTACCGTCTAAGTTATGAGTAAGATTGAACTTCCGACAAACGTCTTTAACATGTTGGCGTCTCAGTTTGATTTTTTCTCTCCATTGTATTGGAACGCTACTCATCGTCAACTGAAGAAAAAAGGAGATGAATTTCAATAAATGAGAGGAAAGAGATGAACATAAATGAATGTTTACACTTAACTCAATATATTGATAGATTTACTCACATGTATAGGTGTGTAACACCGAATGTACCGTACCTGTATGAATGGAAGAACGAAGGATGTCCACTTTTATTCTTTGACTAGCGCCCGCGAGGTGAAATGATTGCGATATAATGCAATAGCCATTTTCCTTCTCTAACCAAACTACATGTATGACAGATTAGACACCTCATGTGATAAAGTAAGATATCTCTCATTTAACTTACTCCACCGGCCACAGTGGCAGGTGTGGCGCCGTTCATTCCTGACACGTTTTCTCGGCTTATAGCTGCAGTCACAAACACATCGGAAACAGACCGCATACCATCGTTCACTGAAACAAAGCAATTCAAAATTGTGCAAGAGAAGTTGGGACCATATTGATTAAAATTTTTGGGAAAACAATTATTGACTTCTTCACTCTTACGGTATCATATAAATCGACCCCTATCTGTACGTATTAGTTAATAAATATACATGTAGTAACTGCTGCTGTTACGATTACGTCTGCAAATAGCCAGCTTCGGCTAAATGTCATCTATATTCTTAGCCTATCACACTATGTAACTAAAAGCATGATTGAATGTTCATATAAACGTAATTGAATATACATGTACATCATGGAAATAAGACAGCGAGGGATAATTGGCCTTTTTTGTAGTTAAAACTCACCGGATAATTCGAACTACTGACAAAAGGGAACCTTTACCAATCTTTCCTTTTTTACATACATATCTGCGTATATCCCTTGCGAAAACTCTCCATGTTGTCAGATACACTGGTAATATATTGCCCCATACATTCTTAAACATATCAAATTAAGTCAGTCCATTACCTGTGGTATCTGTCCTAAAAAGAAAGTAGTGAGCCACGACGTACAGAGTTAACACAGTTACCATCTTCCAGTGACGCAATAAAGTACACATGCAACATTTTAAGTATATCTTTGGAGAAGCCATGATATCGGTGAGATACATGTAGGCTAGTAAAAAGTTATAACATCGTACGGTGTCCTGTTACTTTAACTGCGACAACGGAGCTGGAACAAACTGCCTGGAACAAAATGTGTTGTTTCCACATCCTTGAAATGCAAAAGGATTGAATATTCCCCAACCGCAGTCAGCAACAATAGTGCTCCTTCCGTGATTCAGTTCGTTCTGCACATTGATGTCAAGGCCTGATGCCACGCATTTCACCTGCGAAATGAAATTATGACAAGGGCAACCATCCGCTAGGTCAAACATAACATGAACGTGCTTAATGTATCCTGTGCACTAACAGGTCCAAGCTCAGCTACCGGTTTTGCGAGGTTATAACTGCAAGATATGCTCATTTGTACGTCAAAACATGTTTTAGATTTACCTTACAATTCCGAGGGCGAAAAACATAACAAAGTGGAACAAGGAGGCGAGATTCAAGCTGCGTCAGGTATAGCTCAGCACCAAACCCATAGTGTGTCCCGGATTTATTTTTACCACCTCAGTCCCGTATATACATTTATAATTTACACGATTAAGAAAAACAATGTAAATGGTAACTATGATAGATGAATGACGTGTTTAATATTACGTGTATGTAAGGCTAATGCACTGCACACCTCTTTGAATTTTTCTGTCTTCTATCAACTTACATTTTTTGCTAAAATGGTTGTCACACCTTCGAAAATTGGTATCAGACAATCCCCCCCCCTCCCCCGGACATCCCCCCCCCCAGGACAATTCCCCCCGGACGATCCCCCCGAAGAATATATATATATATTTATATACAAAATATAAAGTAAAGAGTACAAAGTTCAAATCTTTTCATCCATTTTATGAATATTTCTCAGTTTGATGATGCAACTCGAGGATAGATAATATTCATTAAATTAAACAAATTATTTTCATGTAGTACAAGTACAGACAATTTTAGAGATAGAAGTACAGAACATTTTATTAAAATTCTGATCAAAGTACATCTCTAGTTAAGGTAGGGTAAACAGATGATGTCACTCATCCAGGTGACCCTTTGATAAATTAACTGTTACTTTTTTAAAAGTTAAATTAAAATTGCTTTATTACTTTCCCCCCTTGATTAAGTCTTGAATCAAGGTGCATCTCTAGGGAGAGGTGGGGTAAACAGATTTTCTCGCTTATCCAGGTATCCCTTTGATTATTTGTCACTTTTTATTGCTTGACCACTACCCACCTACTCACTACCCACCAAAATAAAATATTCATAAAATATCTGTTTACCTGTTTATCTGTTTACCCAAACTTTACCTGAAGGATAGGTGGTTATACTTTGATTAGATCTTTAATAAAACTTTCTGTACTAGTACTAAATGAAAAAGGAATTTGTTATAAAATAATTTGTTTCATGATGAAGTTGTAGTATCACACTAAAAATATTAATAAAATGGATGAAATGTTTTAAACTTTACACTTTTTACATTATATTTGTGTATAAATAGATATTTCTTAGGGGGAATCGTCCGGGGGAGAAATGTCCTGGGGGGGGGGGGATTGTCTGGGGGGGGTCTGCCATTGCCAATCTTGTTTTTTTATAATATTATATGTATTTTATGTTGATGTTTTGGCTTCATTATCCCACACAGCAATCAAAAACCATTTTACATTTATACCCTAAACAAATATGGGCACATATGTCAAGGGATGTCAGCTCCGAAGATAACATAAGAATATTAGTGTAATTATGCGTATAGACGTTGCTAGCTTGGCTAGAAATGGGATTTTTGTCAATTGATATCGCATTTCAAGGCGAACTGTTCTTAGAGTACTTCAGAGGAGAGCTGTGATCTGTGCTGTATCCACTGACAGATCAACCCCGTGCCACCAACGACCGAACTGACTGTATCATCATCAACATTGCCAGAAGAACCTGCACTAAATCTGCCATTGTCAATCTACCATGTGATGTACTAGAGAACAGATGTTACAACGACTGTACAAGAAATGGAGGCCACTGAATGTGTTTCTATTCACGTATGAGCTGTTTTTCTTCTTTTGTGCCAGCCAACAGGTTCCTCTGGATGAAAGCGTCAGTGCCACGGTGTACAGGGATATGTTACAAAATCCTATGATCCAATTTGCACGTACAATATTCCAGTGCAACTTTCGGTTGCAGCACGATGATGTTAGCCCTCATTTATATTATATGGACGAAAACATGATCCAACCAGCAATAAACCCTGATATGAACTTTGGGGCGAATTGGGGGAGAGCATCGTACAGAAGAAACCGACACCCAGCAGTATTGACAGTTATTGCATTAGCTGAGGCAAGCTTTAACCCTAGAGATTTATAATAATCTTGTAAGCATATCTGTGGACATTATAAACACCAAAGTATTTACAATTTATAATAATAATAATAACAATAACACAAGAACACCTTAAAATTATGTACATTGAAGGATAAAGCTATAGGCACCATGAAAAATGTATGTACATCACACTTGATACGGAGATTATAAGCATCACCATGAAAATTATATACATTGAAAGGTCTCAAAATGATAATGATAACGATGTGAACTACACTAAGGAACATGTAGGCCTAAACATTGAAAGGTTTGAGGATAGTTAAGGTAATAATAATAATAATAATTCAGAGCAAGCAGCACACTGAAGAAGTAAACGTAAAAAAATGTAACTTTTAATAATCTCTTTGAGGTGATTGTGACATCAGTCCATTAACTGAATTCGCGAGTTAAACAAACAAAAATACATCGTCTATTCTAAGTCACACGACAACCATTAAACGCGATATTTTGGATCTCCATATTTTCCAAATTATGATCTATAAAAAAGTTACAGGCACCCCACAAAAGATCCTCATGTCAGTGTCGCTGGTACGACTGAACTCATCCGGCTGCTACCAGGGCTCTCAAGCAGCAAGGCATTCTTTGGAATAGGTATTTGGGGAATAACATTTCAGTCATCGGTCAAAACGTGTCCAATTTGGATCAGTTTTGTTGTAAGACATGTAGGCCGTTGATTCGACGAGTAATGGCCTACCAACATATTGTCTATGTGGTTCAAATATGTCGATTTTGATGACCAAGGTAGTTGTTCATTCACTTGGTTCTGTAAGTTATCTGCTATTAAAAGTGCTCTGTGTTAACCGGCAATCTCATCGTGCAACATAAAAATGGTGCCACCTATCAAATGATAGTCAAGTGGTTCCCAGCAGATTATTCCTTTATTTGATGTGGTTCAGGTTTTCACCGATAACTACCATTGGTGTTTTGGCACCAATGTGGTATCCACTGCAAATACTGACGGTGGCAATGACCCTAGTCACTTTAGACGTGGCACACGCTTCGTCGTAGGCCTCTTTAGGATGTCTGTAAATTCATTCTGTTTTGTCTAGTTGAGCGGTACAGGTGAAATTCAGTGTTTTACCCAGAAACGGACATGGTCCCCAATTCACTAGAGAAACGGACGACGAAGTTTTGCAGTGGCTTCCTCAGAGGTCGTCTGGTATTCTAAACGGCTAAAACCAGTTTTTTTGTTCTCTAAGGGCCTTGAAAACGCGTTCTGGTGGCAATTTGCCCCTCATTCTGAAGGGACTGGGTGTTAATTGTTTAGTTGCAGCAGCATATCCGGAAGGACAGTGAGACCTGTACCCTGGCGGAAGGTTTCGATGCACTGTGACCTCTGTGTAGGTACATAAGTCTGGGCATAACTCTACAAAACTGTGCGGACTGTTTCGTGTGACACAATAATCTGTCTGGCAATGTCTGTCTTTTTCGCGCCATTCAGACACAGATAAACAATTTTGTAAAACACTGCTTAACTACGCATTTCAGAACTGACCGCTTGCATGCAAAATTTCAAAGTTTATATTTAGTAGTTGCCGACACATGGATACTTTTTTTGACAGAACCATGCTTCGCCGGAGCCAGGCTTTACCAGCCAGGAGGAGCACTACCCAATTAAATTACTGCATATTACACAATGCAGTACATGTAGTACAGCTGACATGTTAGTCAGTAATAATTGGTAGCGACACACTTGACTACACACTTCTCTATTCACATATCTTCTATGAGATCTGATTTTTTTAAAGAACACATTTTTACATAGGCATACCAGACGGGGCGAAGAGCACTGATGATGATGATGATACCTATATTCATTAGATCTCATTAACAGGGGTAATACTGAAAATCGCATTCAGTCCGCAGAAAGTGTGTACATTTAATATACCCTATAAAGCAGCGAATTGAGTTTGTGCTCTAAAAGTTCCAAAAGTGTTTACTATATATGTACATGGTCACGAATTTTAACTCTCACCGATTGGTCAAAAGCAGTCACGTGCCGGTCAATCACAACTGGTCAATATCGGTCGAAATGAGGTGGTTATATTTTTTCAAGGAAATATTTAAAATCGATTTTACATGCATGCCTTATAATAAAGAACAGCAGGGGAGGTCCTGGTCCCCCCCTTCGATTTCTGATTAAAAAAAAAAACACAAAATCTTAAAGGGATAATAACTCTTCGTATGATATCTATATTTCACAATAAAAACATTGTACACAACTCATAGAAATATAATATAATCTGTTTTACCACAAAAACGGCAGTTATAGCTATTATTCTGATATCTGAGCTTGTCTTCAGATCACGTGACCTCCATTGATGGCTATACTCTGTTATAATCTCTTAAGAGATTTTAACAAAAAACCAAACTTTTTAGAAAAAAACAAGGAACTAACTTTGAATGTAAAAATGGATTTATTAACCATTGGTTAGTATGGGAAAATTGTTGTTTACTCCAGGAAAATTCTTTTTTGGCCAAAACGAAGAGTTATTATCCCTTTAATCATAGTTCTAAACCGTACCAAATGGCGCCATTTGCCCTCTAAAACACGAGTTTTTTTCGGGGCTCTCAAGCGTGCCCTGAACCTGACGCCAAGGGGGTGAGAGTCGGCCTCGCAATCCGGGGCCTGTTAGTCCCTAAACAACTGGACCCCCCCTCCCCTTCAAAAAATTCTGGATCCGCCCCTGGTTAGGATCGCACTGTCCCCAGGGGAGGCGATTCTGTTTATTCGTGTGCCATTCTGTGTAAGACTAAATGACATGGGTCGGCTGAGGGAGGTTTTGATGATCATAGTAACCACTGCCTCTGTATTGACAGAAATTATAAACATCATCATAATTACCACAGCATAAATCTGCCTTCATGTATGGCTATTAATGAGTATCGATGAAAAACTTCTTGATGAATACATCCACCACCCCAGGGATATACCCATCCAGAAACGTACTATAATTCCGAAGGGCTTTTACAACAAATAAATATGTGTTATAGGCGTTACATTAACATACAAACTTTTTAAAAAAGAAAATAGCAATTCGGCGTACGGTGTCAAGGTTAAAATACCACTTGTATGTTCTTACATGAAAAACAGGTCGAATGACTTGTAAAAAAATTGTAAGCGCGTTGCAGTGGCAAAATACGTTTTCACATCTTTGTTTTTTTAATTAAGAAATTAGTTGTGGTTGCAAAATGCGTCCCGGCTGGAAAATGCGGTTCTGCTAGTAGCATAGCAACCAGTTGCTGCTCGACACTAGTCTACTGCATTACTTCCACGTCCTTTTCAAAAGTCCCATTTGAAAGAATGTGGTGTTTTAGGGGTTTTATCAATGCACCTGGATTATATGTCACAGGTAAGCTTATTCATTTCTGCCTGAAATGTTGCTGTGTGTTTTATTATTCATGCATACATGCGGCGAGCGTTCAGTGCGCGGCCACAACCAAGAGCAATTGTTAACCCTTTGGTGTATTTGTTTATGTAAAGTAACATATCTTAATAGGCAAATAATATCGCAACATTGCGGCATTAGTAGCGGCTAATCAGGCGGTTGCTGCGCCCTCTGTCTGCTCAACTCCGAGGTTGTCCATGTTGTGAGCGGAAATAGAAACAGTTACAATACAGTTCTTTATGGGTCTCTATGGTGCCTGGTATGATACCGCTCAGCTATCCAATCTCGACCACCACTCCAATGGAGGGCAGACGTGAAAACCACAACTAAGAACCTTCGTCAACGATGTTATCAACATAAAGTACAGGTAAGGTCTCTCTCTCTCGCTAACGAGCATTTTTATATTTTAAAACTGCATAGAACCGATAGTAAGACTTGACACTTTTTGGAGGCTTATACAAAATTTCATTTGTCTGATAAGTTGTAAAATGTCCGACCCAGCAAGGATATATTGCTGACTTACTGCTGGCCTGTTGATATACTGTGGATACACTTAGCCTTATTTAGAACAATACATCTAAATGCGAAACCATTACTGCGAAATGTTTATTTCAATTTGACATATCTGTGAGTAAATCTTTTATATTACGGTGACTAGGTGCTTCAAGGTGCCGCTAATGTTTTGTGTTTTGTGTAGCAATATGCCCGTCTGTTGTGCCGTCATGCACCCTGGCTGCATTAAACACTCACTGAGGAAGAAAATACTTCTGCACGCTATTTTTAAGCTTTTCCTCAAGTTACGAACCCTGTTACAAGTTATCGGCATGTCAGGAAGGTCTTGGGGCCATCTTGGATATAACTAAGATGCATTGGTCAGCACATTATCATAGAACTTCATTCCCAACAAATTCATGTACAGTGCATCCTTTATTGTCTGAGTTTCGGATAATTATATGGTGATATTTAACCCACTCTATTGTGCAACTTCTGGTGGCATTCTTAACAGAAAATCAAAAAACCTAAAACAACTCGATCGTTATCTTCAATTTTACCCACGCAGCGTTGTTTATCAATACAATGCAGTACAGTGCCTCCTTCAGCGCACTTTGCGTCTTACGTAATGTGTCTGTTTTGATTAAGTTAACTATGAATGGGACTGACCTGAACATAAGTTCACATCAGCTGAAAAGAGGTGTACTTCGCAGGCTTTGACAGCTCTCTCTGACAGCAATTTTCAATACTTGTTTTTAAATTAAAAGTTCGCAGAGACGTATCATCGTGAGTTAAACGTGGAACAGGTACAGTTACATGTACATTGGGTGGTACTCGTGAAACTTACCAACAAGTTTTTTTACGCTCAAGTTTGTTTCGATTTAGCCAGTGACTTGAGTGAGAAATACAGAGGAGTCATCTTCTACGTGTATATAAGTAATTGGTGTAACATTCTGGCTATCTTACATCAGTCGTACTATACAGATGATGCCTACAACTACATCTGCATGTACACGTAAGTGCTGATGACCAAATGATGCTGGTCATAAATAGTGAAGTGCATTTGTTCACTATGTGACAAACACGTTTTGACAGTAGGATAATATAATATAGACAGCGACGTATTAATCTTTCTAAAGTGTTTTAAAATGAAAAATAATACCAGAGGGGCTTGGTGTATTGCGAAGTTTACAGCTGCCACTTGAGAATGTAAGCGAAAATGTGAATAGAAAACCGCGATTAAGTTGTAAACTTTATCAAAAAGGCAAAATTTTAGGTAATTATCCCGCATCGTGACCTTTAGGAATACACCTGAGTTTTATAAAATATTTCACGCGTCTGTGTTGATTTTTTTCTCTTGCCAGAAGTTATGTGTGAATGGATAAGTGCTAATCTCAGCATTAATGTAGATTTAGTACTTGTGTCTGTAGGTTCTACCTACGCCTCTATGTGACCGATGCCAACAATATCCATTAGTGTTAATTACATAACGTAAAACTGTTGAAATTGGGGTGTGCCCTAATAACCTAGGCTCTACCCCCAGACAGCTCCAACACTGCTGTCACATTACTAATACAACACAGTGGATTAAAAATAGCAACCAACTCCCATATCAAGTATCTACCAAATAAAAGACATTTTAATGCGCAGTATTCAGAGCGACTGCTTTTGTTGTGTGAAATATGAAGAGCAAAGCCATTACAAATTCTGATGATTTAGTTTCAGGTAACGCTGAGTTACATTCTGAATAATTTGGACCAGGTAACTTTAGTAAAAAGCGTTTAAAGTCATTTTCTAGTTCATCGTGAAAACGATGCCCTTGGGTCGTATCTATTTTAATTCCTTTCTTTTAAAACACTTTTCTTCATTATTTTTTTCTATAATGGGTAACAAGGTCCCATCCTATGTTTCGGATATCTATCTTCCTTTCAAAAACAATTCGACAATCACAACTCGAGGAACCACGGAAAGAGATTTTGAACTTCCGACTAAAAACCCCGTAATACAGGAAACAACTTTCTTATGTCTTTTTGGGATCAACTCTCCTCCGCTACTTAATCTTTACTCCCAATCTCTTCTTTTAAGAGTACTCTAAAATAATCTTAATGCAACTGCCCTCAAGTTAAATAGAAGTCAAGAAAAATATTTAATAGAGCGAGGGCTGGGGGTGTTTGTTTAAAGCTGAACTGTGTAAGGCAAAACTGGAGTACAATAGATACACCTCAATGCACCTGTGTTGCCCCCGATACCCGTTTACATCTCTTTTTCAGATGCCCGTCCCGTTCCTTCACAAATTATAGATGAAAATGAAATGCTGCAGGGAAATAAGGTTAATTTTGGAACTCAAAAAGAAAAGCTATCACTCTTTCTTCATGAATATTTAACTTGTGTGCACATGAACATATAATTTATTTATAAACATATAATTAAATACATGTGTAAAAAATATTATGAAGTTTAAACGAAGAGGACATACGTTTAAGCATATAGGAAATTATTTGGTCACATAATAAATAGGTGGTATACATGTACATCAGATGCTTCTTTGCTTCATAAACTGCTCACATCTTGTCTGTTTTCCATCGATGTATTCCCTTTTACCTACTGACCCCAGGATACGGGCCTTAGATACGGCTATCGAACGCCATTGATTTCCAGTACTTCGCTGGGGAGAGCTGTCAATTGTTCGCGTACAGAATAACATTCGTTGGGGCACGGAAAGTCAATTGATCATCTGAGAACAACCCCCTAATACTTATACGTGTTGCTGTTGTCAAAGGAGCCGAAGGGGTGTGCATGGTCGGCGATGGCTAAGGAAATATGGATAAAAATGCAGTTTTAAAACACTTCAATCAGAATGGATAGATGACTATGTAGTATAGTTTGTATTTCTATGTAGCAAGCGTTCCATGTGTCATGATCTAGCGTAACTGTGTTCAGTAAGTATAACATGATAACGTTTTACTAAGTTATCGAGGCTACATTTCGCTAATCTCACTACACAATTATTTTCTCTTTTGTCAAATTTAAGCGAAACAATAATGATGATGATGATAATAATAATAATAATAATAATAGGTGGGTGAAATGAGATAAATGCATGCTCTATTGACGTATTTCTCTATCTGGAAAATAGACAAGTATTTTCCGTCGCAGAGACTGAATGTGCACATGTATTAGTAGACCTATATCATCTGCAACTACGGTAGTCGTTCGGGGCAGCAGTTGCTCTGTCCATAACAATGCTAGCCAGGACCTAATGAGTTTGTCGACCTCCCCAAAAACAACAACATGCGATTTTGTGAGAGTCTGTGTATACCTAATAACTATATCATACCATTAAATACCACAATGATGATGATGTTTGAAAGCAATCCTTGTGCAGGCCCGTAGCCAGCAATTTCAAAAGGGGTGCTCTTTTTCTGAAGAAGTGGACCTTTTACCATGAAACCTTCATGTGCCTAGATAAATTTTTACCCAGAGGGGACCTTTTCCCAGCAAAAGGGGGGTTCTTTCGA